AGTGGAAAATGCAAAGAATGGAATTCAGACACAGTGAGCTCACTGCAGGTGGTGCTTGTAATGATTTTTTAGAAATAAATTTTAGTTATTAAATATTTTAGTAGTTTTTGGGGGGATAGGGTGTTTGTCCAGTGGCTGCCATTGCATTACCTTCTTCTGCACCCCAGAAAATCCACACTTTTGGGATTCTCTAGAGCTTTCCAACAGTGTGCATTTTCCCATTCTTAGAAGAGTGGTACATGTCAGACAGAGAGGGTTTCATCTGCCCAACCATCAAAGTAGGTCCTGGGAAGTTTCCTACTCCTTGGTAGGTCCCCCTTCCACAACAGCCAGTCCTGTGGGGATTTACATCCACTGGGTTCATCCAAGTTTCACCTGAGATTCCCTGGATCTGTCCATTAGCCCCAAGGACTTGGTGTCTGCAGAGGTTGCTGTGAAATTCCCCTTACCCCCAGGGTTAGGTGGGCAAACAGGCACTTGCCCCTCACCCTCTGGAAACTGGAGAAGCCCCTGATATTTTTTTAAAACCCTGCCTTTGCTTTTGAAACCCTGCCTTTGCTTTTTGTGACATTTTTCCAGTTGCATGGATCTGTGTAGTGGCATGCAGTGCTCAGAGCCACGATGCAGGGAGTATGTGTGTTTGTGTTTGTTTGGTCCCATCTACATCAGCGAGCCCTTGAAATGCAGCCCAGCTGGCAGATCTGGTTAGGCTGGGCAACTTAGCTTTAGATGGTTTTTTGTTTGTTTACAAGTGATCTTGGCCACAGACAGGGACACACAGCTGGTGGTCTGTGCACTGTTCCATGATCAGATTGAGGCTGGGCTCTGAGCCGATGAAGGCTGGAGTGGGGCTATGCAATTCCATCTTATTCTTGGCCTAATTTGGAGGGGGATTGGACAGGCTGCTACTCTGCTGTCTTCTTCTGTGGTCTGGCATCTCAGGGCCTGGTTTGGCTTTGCCTGTGTGGGCAGCAGCATCCAGCACCCCTCTGCCATGGCAGTGGAGCCTCAGCTTGCTCAGATGTCCTTCCCTGCAGCCCAGAGAACACCTCTTGCTGTGAGCAATAACGTGTAATACAAATACCACGTAAATACAGGCATTTCTCTTCCTGCACTGGTTGTAATATTCAGGTGGGAGAGGTGTGTCTGATGTCTCAGAGAGGGTTTTGTAAGTGACTTTTGTGAAATGTTCATGTGCCAGTGTGGTGCATGCTGGCTGAGGGGACTGTGGGAGCATCCATTTCTCGAGAAGTGACACACTGGTGCCATGTAATGATACCCATGTGCTGTGTGCCAGCCTGAACTTCTGCAGAAGACCCATGTTGGGGGTTCTGGGGAGAAGAAGCAGTGCCAGCCCATCAGTACTACAAACTGGGTGCTGCAGAAACATTGTGATAAAGGATGGTGGAGGAAGAGGCTGACGAAAGCTGTGACCTTCTAGGCAGGATCTCTTTCCCAAACACAGGTAAAACATTAGCAGACTGCTACAGATGTGGGCATGGAGGAACCTGTTAAATTAAAGCCAGAGTGTAACAAGAGAGATGTTTGCTTTGGAAGATAACGTGTGCCTGTTCTGCACACTGAAGGTGAGGGAACCCTCTGACACATGTTTTACTTCATTACTACAGTAGACCTCTTGCACTGCAAGGCCACAGAGCTCCCAGTTCTTCCCTCCCACATCCCCTTTCCTTTTAAAACAAGGGGCTTCTGTCAGCTTTACCAGTGCCTCCATCTGACAGCCCAGAGCATCCTAAATGATGGGAATTGCTCCTTTTCTTATCTCATTGTGGAGCTTCCTGACCACACTGCCCAAGTTCGCTGTGTTATTGAGATGCCCATGTCTCTGCTCCCTACAGCCTGGTCAGTGGCTGGAGATGAGGGAAAGGCTCTCAGCAAGGCATCCTTTGGTGGAGCTGTTTTAATGAGCCAGTTTCATTACCTGCCTTGCTGGTGGTCCCAGAGAGGCTGCAGGGAAGTCTGCGGCTTTGTTTTCTTAAATGGCATCAAATGATGGCATTTAAGACCCTGCCAGGAGCAAATGAACTCTTAGGACAGCATTTCTTGTCCTGTGTACAAGGCATTATTAAATTAACTTTGTACTCGAATCACCCTACACATCCCTCTCTGGAGAGGTCTAACTTAACTGTGGGATAAAATTTTGCAACCCTATTTTTGTCACACAGGTGACCTGTGTAACAAAACCTTTACATGCATTAATGTCATCCAAGTTTTGGCAAGCTCCAAAGCAGGCTGCCTCTAAATCCTCTATTTCTGTCTTAATGCTGCACTCATCCCAGAGTTAAGTATGTAATTCTCTTGCTTTACTTACTTTCCACATTAAGGACAATGGATTTCCTCTCCCACACACCTCTTGCAAATTTACAGGTGCTGTGAGAAAAACCCCTAGTGCTGTTGCCATCCAAGTGATGCCTTTTGCCCCTGTGGGTACCTGCAGCTTGGCAGTTCCAGCTGGGCAGCAGCACAGAATGGAGTCTTGCATACTTTCAGCTACTTCTCTGTTATTTGCACCTAATAACTGACTCAAGAGTTCATCTACGAATATATATTCAGGGCTGCTCTTAGTAAGTTTTCCACCTCTCAGCCACAAAGCTCTTGTTTTCTGCAATTTCCTTTTTGTATTTTCTCCTAACCCTAATCCATTTTAACATTAATGCATTAGTTTTGAAACAGCTGGTGTATTCTCAGCCTCTTTTTCTTCCTTACCTGCTGATTTTTTTTTTTTTTGCTTTCCTCACTGTCCTCTATACTTCTGCTGTTTGCAAAAACCAGCTTTTCTCCTGCCTCTCCCTCTACACAGCTCCCACCATCTGTCTCTCTACAAATACAAAGCTTTAGGGGAAATTATTCACTAGGCTGCTAACTCATTACTCACACTCTCCCCATCATGGTTTCTGTCCTTGTAGGATGCTCTAACTAATGTAAAGATCAATGAATCCTGGGAATTGTTATTCGATTTAAAAAAAAAAAAAGGTCCCAGCAGTTAAATAGATTGGGCTCTTTGTACTTCCCAAACAGCAAAGCTTAGATTTTCTTCCTCACTCTGCTAGTACTGTTTTGCAGAAAAGGATCGTTCAAACAGAAGAATAGAAATAATCACTGGACCATTTAATGCAACCTTGTGCATCACATGATGCAGGAATCACTTAATGAAATTCCCTGGCCCAAACCAAGCAAATCTGTGGTAAATCTAGAGCACATATTTTCAGATGACAGCCAAAATGATGAAAGGAATTTACTACCCAGCCTCACTAATCATTTTGAATGCTTAACTGCACTCCCTAATACGCTGCTTTGCAAGCAGCTAAACTGACACAGCCTCATTCCCTACATGCTTCTCTCCAGACTTGTGCAGGCTGTGTACCCCAGGGCCAGGGTGGCCAGCTGTCCACCTCTGGGAAGAGACCAGAACCTCTCCCTCCTCAGCCTGTGGGTTTGGGGCTCACTCTTTGCTTGGGTAAGTCTTTCCATGAAATTCACAGGCACTTAGTATCTTTGAGCCCTCCCTATTAAATGTGGCAGAAAGTGGCTAAGAGGCTCAGAAGCCAATTGAGACAGACTATTTCACAGTGCTAAAACACTTCAGATACCTTAAAATAACAGAGGCAGCCATACTGAGTTGGCAGATAATGCCCCATCATTTCAGGAGACTTGCTCAACCTGGAGGCTGAGCTCAACGTTGTAGTGCACTCCAGGTGACCCCAAATGTCAACCCACATTCCACTCCTTTTGGTGTTTACTTTGTTGACCATTTAAGATAAATTTCTGTCATGATTTTAGGCTGTCACCACATACTACAAAATTATTTTCTGAATTGAAAATTTATCACATGAAAAACAGACCTCCCTTCCCCACATGTAAGTAAGTGCCAAGAAGTACCACTGCCTAACACAGTTTTATTGTGCCTTCTCAGGAAGCTGCTGGCACATCAGGAATTAGCCTGTTTCAGTTGTTGAGCTTCCCTTTTGAAACTGGAGTTGCAAGAAGCACAGAAAATAGCACAATAAAAATCATTGGAGGTGACAACACTGAATACACCCTTCCTTTAAATGGCTGCAATTATTTTTGCAAAAGTCTGCTGAAGAAAATCTGAGTTTTATTTTTTTCCCCCATGAGCACCACAGAACATGTGCTGCATCAACACAGCATGCTGGCACCACTTCCACAGAAAGCTAATTAAATAATTTGGATACTGTATGAGGAGTATCAACTTCTGGGCTAATTTTCTTTTCAGGCTACCAAACACATGTACTTTTTTATAAAGCTGTATTTGGGTCATTCTATGACAAATATTAAAGCTGAGGAGGTTCTTGGTAAGACTGCTCTAAAGAATAAGGGCTGCAGAATTTTAAGCCAACAGGGTCCACTGTTACCTCAGTAAGGTTAAGGCTGTTAAAAAACAGAAAACCCTCACCAAAGTCATGCTTATGTGGTCTGTGAAAACATGTTCAAATTTTAGCAGACGTGATGTTGTTGAGCCATCCTGGTGGCCAGCACCCTGTGGCTCTCCATCTTTGATTATTTTATTGTCCCGTACTGCATACTGCAAGTTGTAGGAGTCAATGTTCTTTCTCTCAACAATCGCTGCCTTCCAGAATGCCAATTGTCCTTTGACATGCTCTGTTTTAAATGAGGGCTGAAGAGCAATGGTGAGGCTAAAGGCCTGCCATAAAAATACTGCAGTGTTCCATGGCACTGACAGCACACACTGATGTGTCATGCTTTCAGCTCTCCTGTTGCTGCAACACGCTGGAGGTGTGAGGGACCAAGCTGTAAGGAAAGGGAACTCTAGAGATTCCAGATCTCAAAGTCCTCTAATTGAAGACAAGTCTCTTTATGCCAGACAGTCTAAGGAAAATCTGCTTTACCCAACCCGTTTCTCTGTAGTCTCCAGCAATAATAGAAGTGGACATGGTATATAAGATTGCCTTACAAAAGGCAAATATATTTAATAGTGTATATACAAATTGATGGTTCAACAATGCTATACAAAGCAGGAATATCTTTAAAGAAACCCTGAGCAAAAAGGAGCATGTAATTTTTATTTTACACTTATTGCAACATTATTTCTGGTATTTGTTTGCTATAATGACTAATAAAAGGAATATGTTAAAACCAGATGTTAAAATAAAAGTGGGCACTCTTTCCATTTGTAGCTTATTAAAAAATCTAGAGAAGAGAGTTCTGCCCCATCAGCTTTGGAAATAGATGTTTAACATGGTAGAGAACAAGCTGAGCCTGAGTAACCCAAGACAACCAATTCCTTTAGCAGAAAGAGTGTCTTCTGTCATCAAAAAGAGCCATCTGGAAGAGTGCTGGCTCCCTGCCAGGAACAACCCTTTAACAACCACTCGTCATGTGCTTTAAGTTAAAATGTTCACAGCGGCACAACCTGGAGTGTTGGTAAAGGTCCTATCGGAGGAGCAACGTATTCCTCCTCCCGCAGTAACCGCAAAAGGATGTTCTTCTTATTCTTTGGCCAGTTATAAATGTGAGTGTTCTGCAGCCAGGTGGGCACGTGTTCCTGGAAAAAAACAAGGAAAATAAAAGCTAAATCCCATAAATCCTTCTGAATCTCTACCAGAATCTTTCAGATTCCATCACACCCTGCCAAGGAAGATTTAATTCTGTCTGTTCTAGGCACTTCCTGTAACAACAAGAAATGTTAATTTGGCTTCAGAATTGTATTTGGGTTCCTAAATAAATGAACTTTGTGTGATCTCACAGCTTGCCTGTCTCTCTTCTGCCATCACGTTGGCTAATTTCACTGTGTTTCAAAGGAAGTCTGATGTCAATGACAGGCATCGAAAAGCTTGTGAAAATAAACAAGGAGAGGAAGAGAAGAGAAGAGAAGAGAAGAGAAGAGAAGAGAAGAGAAGAGAAGAGAAGAGAAGAGAAGAGAAGAGAAGAGAAGAGGATGGCAGTGCCCCTAGCAGGGAAAAGCTGCCACCTTAGTAGCTGCTAAAGGATCCATACAGCATGTTCAACATTGGAATGAGGATCAATAGGGAAAGACTGGGACCCCACAGGAACATTTCGCATGCTGGTAGCCCTCTCCCCCTCCCCTTTCTTCACCAAGCATGGTGTGCTCTGACCAACTGAGCAGAAGGCTGAGGCTGATGCTGAGCTTGAGGAGAGACTAATGTATCTCCAGATTAGCAGGGTCAAACCTCCACCAATCCCTGCATTGTGGAAAAGGTGCAGTCCTTCATAGGGGTTGGCTACTGTCCATCAACATAATGAAGCTGGGATCAGCATGGCACTGGATAGTGACAGTGGCTGATGGAGATGAGCCTGCTCAGACCTCATGTTCCCGTGTTCCCATAGCCTTGGGAAGTTTCCATAGGGACAGCCTGTCTATGTAGGGGTGAAGGGCTATTATAATACCACTAATTAACAGAGGGACAGATCCTTAACCAAAACCAGTTCATGGTCACCACAAGACAGAGATTTGTTTTGGAACTGGAGACACCAGAACCTAGCCAAAATGAGACAGCAGGTAAGCAACATGACGAGCCAGGACATCCAGCACTTGGTCCCTGGACCTCTTATTTAGCAGTGTTTTCCCAAGATAGCCCCTGTTAGAGCAGCACAGCTCCTGTCAAGCTAGTGGAGCTAGCTCCAAGAGGACAGAGCAAAAAGCTGCTGGCATGCACATCTCTGGCACCTCGCCAGGGGATTGCCCTGGCATGGGCTGCACATGTCCTGCTGCCAGCAAACAGGCTAGCTGCAGTCCAAACCTTTCATTCCCATGATCATGCTTCTCAAATTGGCTGTCTTTTCCTTGGCCTGTACAGCTGTAGGAATAAGGCTGCATCACTTTCCCTGCTCAGGGAGCAGTTTGTGTTAATTGATACAACCACTCTGTTAGACCTACAGGATTTCTGTATAGGAAGAAGGAGATAAGTCACACAGGCACCTACAGATCCATTAGTGTGAACTCACCTAGGCTTCTGAACAAGCAGCTTTGTGACTGGCAGAGGTATCTATCAAGCCTGACCCTCCTCTTTCTCCAGTGGCTGAGAAAGGATAGGCTTTGATCAGTGGTCTCCCTAAAGTGGAGGTTGCTCTTCTAGATGGACATCTCATGGCACAGGGGTAAGATCCCATAGCATTCCTTTTGGTAGGAGCAAAAATAAGGCTTCTTGCCTCCACTTGCTAGTCTTTTTATTTTGGCAGAGGAACAGATTTTAATCTTTTTGAATTTAACTGCTTTAACAAAGCTCTTTGGAATTGGCCAAGAGACTCAAATGTTACTGGGAGAAAGATAACGATGTTTGCATGCACATGCATACCATTGTTACATGGAATTTGTTTCTTTACTAAATCTTGTTAAGAGCTATAGAAGGAAATGCAATTAAATATGGCAGGAGTTTTACCAAATGAGCCCTTTTTCTACCTTTGATAAGAAACTACATTTTTTGGACAAAGGAAATACAGTAGATATAGTCAGTCTAGACTGCAAAAACGCATTTGATAAACGTCCACATGGGTAATTCATTAGTTAAGATGGAAATTAGTGTGAGAAATGTGTAGTAGGTCAGAAATCAGCACATGGGGATATAATGAGAGAGGCACTATTCATCCAGAGACAAGCTCTGTGCCTTGTTTCCAAAACTGCTTGTGAGGTTTCGTTTAATACCCTACATAATAAAGTCAGTGCAAAAAGCTCTTGGACATGAATCAGCTCTGGTAATAGTTTTAACTTGAGGGAGGTGTGTAGGGGTAAAGGGTAACTATAGCTGCTGTTTTTATCCAGAGTGAGAAAGGGGCTTTTCCTTGCCACACAACTGCGTCTGTCACTGCAGGTGGGAGTAATGGGAAAATGGTTACTGTTTTTACATTTTTAAAATTTGGCTGTGTATCTGTGAGCTGAGAGGAAATTCCCTCTATGCCATAGGGAGAGTATTTGGTAACTCCACAGTTCAAACTGCTAGGAAGAGGGCAGAGTGCTTTGGTGCAGAGGACAGGACTGTTCAGGGCTGTGACAGCAGAGCATGGTTTGACATCTCCTGCCTTCCCTGGCACCAGCCTGTTCATCTCACGCCTTGGCTGCTTCCAGAAGAAGCCTCTAGCATGGGGCAATCTTGGCTTAACGCTTTGGTCATCAGGTGGCCAGAGGAGGAGGACACATTTCTGTGGATTGTTGTGATGCCAGCCTTGAACCAGCAAGACCCATGTTTCCTTTAGTAGTGTACCACTGGAAGCTGGAAATGCCAGTTCCACCTTAACCGTGTGTTGTGCATTCCTCACCTCATTATTCAGCTTCCTAATGAACGCTCCTTGGATCACACAGATCTCTTCCTGTTGGAGGTCGACTAATTTTCACATACCAGCAGTGCTTTATGATGTGCTGTGTATGAGATTAACTCATCTAATAGCCCCATCCCCAGATGAAACCTCCAAATCTTCCTTTTCTGCTTTTTTCCACTGCCAGCTATGCTAATACTTGAAGGTATAAAGGACAGTATAAAAAAGACAAAATTGAAGTAATTTGCCTGCCAACATCATCCAATCGTACATATATTCGGCAGCTTTTCAGGTACCTCACTTCCTCTGACTGCCTCCAGACTTCATTACTGCAACTTGTTCAGGCTCTGGTGCTCTCCTTCCACCCATGATGTCCCTCAGTTACATTATCATTAAGCAGCTAGATGAAGGTAGGCGATGTACCAAAGGATTATGCTGAGAAAGAGACTAAAGCTTAACAGCAGTAGAAAATGCTGATCTGCATAATTTAATGAGAAAGGCACCTCTCGAAAAACTGAAGGGTTATGTGGACTACAGAGGATGGGCAGGCAGGATTCCTGGAGCCTGATGCCTTGATAGAGGCAGCTGGATAAACCAGCCCTGGAAATTCCTTACAGACCACTGTCTGAGACAACTGCTGCTATACACTAAATAGTCTTCTGATAAATAAAGTTGAGCCCAAATTATCATAACTTACTGTTCTGTCCCAGAGCCCCAAGACAGCTATAGTGCCTCCTGGGACACTTCTCTGCAACCCCTAAGGTGCCAAGTGGCTCTAGGCTGTGTGGTCTGTTCACATGTTGGGCACTCAAGTAGCCCCAAGGTTAGGAGCCCCTTTCCCCCATCAAAGACTGACTGAAAAAATGCTGACTGCTTCTCTGCCTTTGCCCTGCCCAATTCCCACCATTGCTGTCTTCCAGGTACTTAAGGTAAGTAGCAGACTGAGATCATTCAGGAAGGGATCTGAATGACATGAAATACCAGAAGTACTGTTCAACCACAGGGCCTCACATGTTTTACAAACCCAGGGACATATTTTCAAATTTCTGATCTTAAATCGGTGCTTAAATAAAGAACTTCATTGCACTAAAATCCACAAGTGCAGTGGGACTGCACAGCCTTGTAACCATTGATAACATTGTTTAAATTTTGACTCATGTTCCAAAATTTGGGCACCCAAAGAAATATAAAGAATTTTTCCATACTTTTCTAAAATGCAGCTGTACCTAGGGGCAACATGATAGCTAGCCAAGAGTGCACAAAGCATTTAGTTATGCAAAGCAAACATGAATACAATGCAGGAGATTGAGAAAGCTATAACTGAAGCCTTTTAATATTTTAGTCTTTGTAAAAATCCAAGAGATTTTCTCAGTAAGGTAGAAGAGATGCTTATTCTCAAATGCTTAAATTGCTTATTCTCAAATGAATCCTCAAAACAACTAAGGAGGGCAGATGAAATTGCAAGTCCTAGTTTACCTTTGATGGGCCCGTCAAAGTTCAAGAAACAGCCTAGTACTTTAGTATTTATTATACTCTTTATTTTTATATTCTTAACACTACCTCTTCCAGACCTTCTCTTCACATCAGTCATAAATCCTGCCCATCTCAGTCATCAGCATTGCATTTGGACAAAATTATAAAATGGTTAATATAAAAAGCATGCTTCCCGGATAGATTGCCCATCTCCATTTAAATTCTTTCAGTGCTCAAGGCAATTTGAGTTTTAGTTGCAAACTCATCATCAGAAATACATTTATACACTGATTTATATTGTGGATGAAATGTTTTTTATTTGCATGTACATAAATGCATGAACTTTGGAATACATAAACCTATAAGCTTTGTATATTACTTGTAGGCTATTAAGAACCAAGAAATTGAGTGTTTTGGTTTTAAGATTCCATCTGCTGCACTGTGATCAAAATAATATGCACTTAATCATGTGGAAAGTATATAAGCATGCATGTATGTTACCTTTTTGGCATTTGGGAAAAGCACAGGGATGAATCTGAAGTTCATACTTCCTTGCTGTATAAACTCAATCTGCATCTAGAATAGAACAAAAAGCCAGTTTTACTGTAATGACGTGACAATTTTTCTCTGCATGCATCTAAACCCTATGTATGAAAACATTCCTTGCTTACTTAAACTGCTCTTCTGTTAAATGAGCTGATCTATTGCTGGTGGACTCGGTGTTGTTTGGTTTGGCCACTTAATCTAATTCTTCATTGCTACAGAAAGGATACAGGAAAGATCTGTCAACATTTCATTTCATGGTGTGAAATAATTGTGGGTTTAGCTGCAGGTGCAATCCCATGAAATCCATCTCAAACTGGTGAAGCCTGACTTGACTAACCCCCATTTAGCCTACAAAGATTTCAGCCAGAGAAGATTTCAGCCAGAGACAAGGTCTGTGTGTGAGCCAGGGCCCAGCCTGTCCATGGCCCTGGACACAGGCATCCCAGGGCTGGTACGGACAGCAAAGTACTGCTGAGAGCTCATCTGCTGGTGACAGCTTCTGAGAAACCTGACTGCAGATTCCAACTGGGGGATCAGATGGGTTACAGGCTGAGAAAGGCAGCTAACTGCAAACCAAGGGAGAAAGGATCACTTCATGGCTCTATGGGCTCTTCTGGGCTGAACGCACATCCTGTGACAGGCTGTGGAAAGGGATGTCTGGTCCTCTGGCACCTCTGTGCACTCCCCAGGAGCCCCACATTGCATCTCTGGCCTTTGCTTTGCAATTCCATCCTTCAGTCAGCTCTATTGCTGCCTAAGAAAAGACCTCAGCTCCAGGATGGCTGAAGCAACAGGGACTGGTTTAGAGGGAGGAAGGTCAGGCACTGTTAGATAAGATTGTGCTCAGGGCTGTACAAGGGCTCAAGAAGGTAAAGGAGGGGAAAAACATTGAACAATAAAGAATATGAATAAATAAGATGAGCATGTTTAATAGGATTTTTCTTCCTTGAACCTCTTAGCAGATGTTAATGAGCATACAGAGCTGATGAGAGGAAGGATTAATGAATTCCAAAGAGGGGTGTTTAACTATGGGGATTAGGGAAAACAAAGCAAAGAACCTGCCATTTGGAGACAGATTTGTCTTTTGAGAAGAAGAGACAGTCTTTGTAAAACAGCAAATGCATGTCCTTGCTTACCATCCTGTGGATGTATTTAGTATGTAAGCCGTGTTCATCCCTGTCCAGCTGGGATTCAGCCCCTTCCACATCCTGTTTGTATTTTGGACTGATTGCTATGATTATCATCACCGTCTTCTGTTAGGGAGAAAAGCACTTTCATGAAATTGAGAAACGCAGCGTGTTTGGTAGAGGCAGATCGGAAATCTGCCAGTTTGTGTTTTAAGTGATCTTTGTGTTCCTGGCAAACACAAGAGGATCTCATTCATTCTGGCAGGAAATACAGGAGAACTCATACACTCGTTCTCCTCGTTATTTCTCGACATCTCAATATAGAAAATCGAAATGTCAAGAGATGTATTAGCAGCTACCAGTTGACACTTGGAATCCCTGTCATAAAAAGCTACTTTTTATCAGTGTAGAGTGTCTATGTGCATACACTGAAAACTTTTGTCTTCAAATTCAGACCCAAATGTTTTCCAACAGCTTATGCAGAAGCGCATCTCTTTAGTCATCTATGGCTTTTTATACAAAAAGCTAATAAAGGCAGCGGTCTGTGGAAGCTACTTCTAGGGCTCTCAGTGGCAGAAATGATATCTTTTCTTGCTGATCTTAGTGCCAAAGTGTGCAGAGAGGTGGCTGTGCAGAAAGGGGAGCTGTTGTGAATGGCCTGGGCAAGTTTAGGGGTACCTGGCAGCTCTGTCCTGATGGGCTGAAGGCAATGCTCCTCCACCTTGCTAGGACAGCCCAGATCCTGCCTCTGACCTGTTTAATCCCAGCCCCACATAGAGCTCAGGTTTCCAGAGAGGGACCATCCTTTGTATCTGGGAAACATCTCTCCTCCTTAATGGCAGGCCAGTTGAAATGCAGCAGATGAAAGCTTCCTACTTGTGTTTACCTGGGGCCTGCCTTTCATCCCCAGCACATGAAGCCTGTGTAAGGCTTCCAAATCTTACAGTCTGCCAGGCATGTAATTAACTCTTTCCTTCTGTGCTGTATCAAGGGAATCTGCCCCACCATAGGGTCAAAGGAGTCATTATCCCTTTCACTGAGTCAACATACTCCTGAATTACTTTTGCTTGTGCTTGACATGTATGCAAGAACTTACAGATGTTGAGGGTTTGCAAGAGACATGCCCAGTTGCACACTTTCCTCTGCTTGTGTCCAAGCAGTCACTTCCTCCACACACATGTAAAGGTTTTGAAGTTAGAAACTGCCTCTACAGTCAGGGAGGGAAACCAAACTTTTCTGGGGTGGGTAGTCAGAGAATGATCCTCAGGTGGAGGCAGGAGATTGTTCTCTGTACATACCGGTTTCTCCTACTGACTGTGCACAAGTCCCAGAGCAGATCTGCCAGCTTGTATTTTAAGTGATAATGATGTTTTTGGCAAAAGCAAAGTCACCCTGTCTTCTGGTTTCATTACCTACATTACACACAGTGAGCCCAAACCTAATTTATCCTGATGCAAGCCCCAGTAGGCATGACTGCATTTCCATGGCAGAGGTCCCAGGCTGGCTCTGCATGCAGTTGTATCCTGCCTGCATGGACACCTGCTGGAAACCTGTGTAGGGCTGGCTCAGATGGTTGAGCTTCCTCGCTCAGGTGGAGGAGAGTCCACCACTTCTGTCATCCTGTTCCTGAACCATGGAGATCTGGCCAGAGTGAGTCAGATCTGGCCAGGTGACCACTCAGCAAGGCGAGAATCCAAGGAAGGCAGCCCATGATGGCTCCTGTCCAGTGACAGAATGGCCAGTTTGCACCCAGCTGTGCTGGTACAGTCCAACCACTTGCCTTGATCCTAAAGGAGATGTGCACTCACTGCTCAGGGGAATTTCAGAGGAAGTTGTTGCTGCAGGGGACACCACTGTCAGCAAGATAAATCTCCATTTTACTGCTTAGACAGATACAAAGTGATGAGAGCAAATCTATATATCAACCAAGAGAATACCAATTTCCACTTTAAATGTAGGATGGTTTATCCAGAAGAACCCCTTCAGCATTTTAGATATCAATGTAAAAGCTACAGGTGAGAAAGATGAACATTAGCCATGACTGCAGCCTGGGATGAAATACAGATATTGTTGTAACCGAGCACAGCTAAACCCCACAATTTAAAAAGGGGATGGACGAATAACTTTTCCAATGGCAGCTTCAGGCTGGATGTAACAGGCAGCATTAGAATTTCTCAAGAATGCCAGGATTAGCTTTTCATTTCTTAAAGAAAGAGCTCTGGGACCATCAGATACAGATGTGAGTGAGATTTGCCTCTCTCTGCAACACCTCTGCCATTTCTACAGGGGCAGGGAAAACAACAGTAGGGTCTTGCATTTTCATTCTGTCCCTGCTGTGCATTAGAATAATTCAACTATCTTCCTCAGGTCACCTCTGCTATAAACAAGGTTAAATTGCCCTTACATACATCACCTAGGTAGCGCTCCATCCACTTAATGATGTCAATACCTCGTACCGTGTCCTCAAAGATATCAATCTGCAAGAGAATGAAAGTCTGTAGTGAGCATCCCTTCACCTTTCCCCCCCATTTTACGGCACTGATAGAGCACCCACTCCTTTCTTTGTTTATGACAAGCATTTCCAATTCCCTTAGGAAAAAAACGTGTACATGCACTTCTCCCCTTTCCATGCAGCCTGGAGTCAAGCTGGACAGGCAGCAGGCAGAGAGGGGCTGCTGCAGGCACCTCCTTGAGCTCCCACTCAGCTGGCCCTTTGACTGGCTGCCCTGCCAGACCCCAACTCCCAGGCATTTTTTACTGGACAGAACAAGGTGCTGCCCACCTTCTCCATCTGTATAGCTGCAAATGCCTGCTATTTTCTGACTGCAAGGGTATACTGAGTGTGAAGCCTTAGCTTCATATTGAACTAAATATTCAGGGTGTGTGGTGGGAAGTCAGCCAGGTCACTAATGACTGGGTGCAGTCACCCACACTTCGGTGACAGCAGAGCAGTGGAGGACTTCATAGGACTGAGTATCACCAACACTGCTTGCTTCTCTGCACGCCCAGTAGACCCAGAAACCAGCAATCATGACTGTGATCAATGGAGTAAGTATTAACTTCTCCAAATTTTCGAGATAAGAGTCATGATCTGCTCTCAAGTCTTTCTTTTTCCTTTTCTGAATGCAGAGAGCCCACTTGTTTCCCTGCTTTGGGGCCATTTTGCTGTATTTATTATTCTGCAACAGGCTCCAAGAGTTGCCTGTCCAGCAAAGGTGCTATTAATGAGCCTTCTACTCTGTAAAGCTATGGTGCCCAAAAGCTTTCTTATGAATTGGTCATAGTACAGAACTGCAGGAGAGAAGTACAATTGCAGTCTCTGTAAAAAAAATCTTTGATTCATGAAAATAAATAAGCATGTGCAAAGCTCCCCACTGAGTCTCATTCAGTTTAATGATAGCCACTTGCTTAAATGCTTTCCTGAATTGGAGCCAAAGAGTGAAGGTTGAGGGGTCAGATAGCATATGCTCCTGTAATAAGAAAATATGAATCAAGATTTTGATGAACACTGAATCCTAGAGCCTCTGTGGGTCTCTAAGATAAAGCCAACTCATGAGAAATTCAGTAAAAATCTGAATGTCTTATGGGATTAGAGAGTATGACACAGACCTTTTCAGGCCAGTGATTTTTAGAATTCCTTTTGAAAATATAACAAAGCAAAATCACTTTTAAAGGGATAACAAAGCAAACAAAACCATCAGATGGGCTGTTTCATTAAGCTGTGTGAATTTTAGAATCTACTTCTAGATCTTTTTTAGCAGAAAGTTACTGACGTCTGAAGAATCAATTATATAATAGCATTGGAGAAAATAAAAGGTAGGATGGGAAGAACATAAAATTGACCTTTTGTAATACTGATATTACAGATCAAATATGAGAATATTAATGGAATAGCTCACAAAACCTCATACTATTGCCCATCTGGTGTCGCTAAGTGAAATTTTCCAGGATCATTATTAAAGCATATTTCAAAGCACAAAATTCAGTTAAAGGAAGAATAAACAAAAAGGCAGATAATTTAAGTTTTACAGCTTGCAAAACCAAGGCTAGTTCATCCTATCTGTATCTTCTTTAGCCTTCAAAATGTGATGATAACCAGAAAAACATTCAAATGGACAGTGTATGGCCTCTGCTTTTTTTAAAAAAACCTCTTCCCTGGTTGAAAGTCTTTTTTTCTGGAAGGAATACTTACAGCAGTTTGAAATCCATTTACAGACAGGAAATTCACAAATTTCATAACCTCCACTGCTGTATCCACCGAGTAGGTTATAAAGACCTTGCCTGGGAGAGAGAGTCTGTATGAATATGTAACACATTTAAATACATCATTCAGAGGGTGAGACTGTCACAGCCCTCCTTCTCCACCACGCTGCAGGTCCTGCCCACTTAGGTCTCTTTGGATTGTTTACGAAATGGATGTGGGATAGCGCAACAGCTCAGAGTTGAAACCAACCCCCTATCACAAAGCCCTGCTCTAGATTTGAGCTCCTCCTGCCTTACTGGCAAGCTGCAGAGGTTAAATATCTCTGCTGCTCCCCCTGCCCTGTGGCCAGAGCTGCTTTTTCCCAGTGCTTGGGCATACCTGAGCCTGGGCTCTCACCCACAGCTCGAGTTACCTGTGCTGGCTGCAGCCAGCACAGCTTTGCCCAGACCCACTGACATGACAGAGCTGGAGAGGCCCTTATGCATGTCATACTGCCTCTCCTTGGAGCAACATTAACACCCTGTGCAGGCAGGATGCATGGCTGGTGACAGCAATGCCCTTGCCCTTATGGGAGGGGTTTTCATGGCTTTGCATCAGGGTAAAGCAGCTGGCTGATCTAATCCAGCTGTGCATGTACCACAGATGACCCTGTTTTCCTCCAGTAATTCCTCCATCTAGGACACACTAACTGATAAAGTAGGGTCTATCCCAGAGTGATATCTGGTATCATAACTCACTCCTACAGGCCAGAGAGGTGTGACTGTCTGGATTTGAAAGGTGATAAGCAGAATGAAGAATAAATGAAAAATCAAAGCCTCAGGAGAGCTGTGGAGGGTTCTTATCAATGGTACATCTCACCTACTAGTCAGATTGGCATTCAGAAAGAAGCTATTTTTCTGAAACGCTAAGAGTTGGAGGGTGAATGCATCTGTGGTGTTGGTGGCAATAGAAGCATCTCAGGCTGCCCTCAGCATGTCCCAGAGTCCTCTCCAAACTCACCAGTTCAGGGAGAAACTGAGGTCAAGGCTCAACATATTTGTCTGGTTTGGGACAGGCAGAAACACTTTATCCCCCAGGCTTTGTTTGTTTTTAGTCTTTTACTGTAAGCTCCAGCCCCTCCTGCCTCAAAGGGACATCCTGTTTAGCAAGGAGTCATGAAAACAATCCAAACAGTGTTTACTTTTTGTAAACAAAATAACAAGCAATTAATGACCATTATGTTTTCAGGATTCAAGGGGGTAATTCTATCCCACCAAACACAGATGCTCACACCCAAGAGATGTGGTGACACTTAGTATTTTATTTTCTTGTTGTCTTAATGTCATTTCCCCCTGCCTTCTCCTCCCCCTTCACCATTCTGGAGCTCTCCCACCTAAAGCTGTTAGGCCATGCTGTAAAATCTTGCACAGAAAAAATTTGCTAACCACTTACGCAACTCCTCCGGCAGATTGCTGGTTCTCAGAGTTCCCCTGGCTGCAGGGTTACTGAGAGGTCTTGGGACAGCAGCTGGAGATGGAAAATTGTCAGAAGGACAACCACATGCTTCATCCAGGCCACATGCCTTGGGGGGCAGCTGACCATTAGGTAGCTGGTTGTATAGCTGGTTTCTACAAAGAAAAGCAATGGAGGATTTAGAAAATACTTATTTTTAGCCAAAATTCAGAATTTCTTCTCCTGTTAATAACACACTAACAACTTTATCTGCATATCAGCTATGAAAAGTTCTTGCAGAAATGCTTGGCTCAGCACATCTGCTTGGTTATTACAGTGTCTTTGGAACGGATACCTTGGTGACAGGCCACCACAACAAGCAGTTTATCGGAGAAACATTAATCACAGGAAGTAAGTCACATCATAGCTGAAAGCTGTTCAGTTTGCAATTAGCAGAAGCAAATGCTGTTTCTGAGTGAGAAATAATGGCTTGTCATGGATGTTGTTATGCATGTATGGGAGCAGGGTGGCTCTTGGGTAACCTCTTCCCATTATCCAAAGGTAAAGAACACTTCATGGCACCTCAGATGCTCTCACAATGTCCTGTGCAGCACAGGAGGCTCAGAGAAAGCTGGAAAATGGGAAAATGGGTGTACAAGGGCACTCCAGCTCCAGCTCTGGAGGGTCTCCAGCATTGGACAAACCCAATGGGAACAAAGTTAATTTCTTGACCAACAACGGCAGACCCAAACGAGGGTTTCTCATGTCAGAGATTAGCATTCCAGACCTGCAATAATCTTGCCTAATGTCTTCTCCATTGTAGTAAACAGACCGAGAGGGATGATTTTAGGAAGCTTAGCAGTTCTTGTCCTACTACACTTTGGCTTCAGATTTTAAGTCAATGGGAAGGTGAATCTATAGAGATTTTTATGCGAGGTGAGCTTGCAATCTGCTGGGTTGAATTTGTTGGATGAGTTTTAGGTTTCTCTGAGAGCTTTCCCCCACAGAGCCACGATGCTTAGTCAATCAAGACCACTCTCTTTTTTTTCTTAGTCTTCCTTAAATGAATGATGACAGGCTGGTCGCAGCATGTTTTCTGTTGTCACATTAAGATTTGGTTTATTCATTTCAGTGCAGATGTTTTCTGTTACAAAATACTCTATAGGCAAATATTACCAACATATAACTGCTGTTCCTGGAGTCAGCCTGCAAGCAGCAGCCACGCAGCCGCAGGACAGACCCCAAGTATTCTGGATCTCTTTTAGTAGAAGTAAGTACTAACAAAAGCAACACATGCCTCATCAATGGCCACAAAAACACTACCAGTGGCTAATTTACAGATCTTCCCAAAACTCCACCTTATCTAACAAATATCCTGCCAATAATCAGGAGTTTGGTTTTAAATTTTACTACTGCAAAGGATACTCACTATCTCCCAATATTTTTACATTTTCGTACAAACTCTTCAGGGCAATTCTCTCTGCTGCAGGTATTCCCTGATCTTGCTGTCACTTTTCTGTTACAGCCCTTAATTTTTCACAGGCCAGAGCAGAATGATATTTCAACTGTCTGCCCTCTTTTGTCCTGCTGATTCTCACAGTTCCCTGCCAAGACCATGTCATATAAGTAGATGCCTGTAAGTTTAACACTTCTAAAAGTATTGTTGCTCTTGAATAAAAACAGTCTGATTTAAGATATTCTCAAAACCTGAAGCTTCAATTTGTTTTTAGATAGCTGAGTCTGAAGGAACCCCTGCATGAATAGGATTTCCCATCTGCTAATGAGATACTTATAAGATTATAAGGCCTGGTAATTAATATCTGAAAATCAGTCAAAAAGCCCTGGTTGAAAAGTGCCAGACATTTTGCTATGAAAAATCATAGAGAAGGCTGCAAACTGCAGTGTAGAGATATATCAGCAACTGATGGGATTTTCTCCCTTTTTCTCTGCACCACAGAAGAGGTAAGAAGGAAATCACTGGAAGGCAATGATTGAGTTGTTCCAGGCTGGTACAGTGTGAAGCTGAAGACCCCAGCAAGCCACCCAATTGACCTTTGCCTGTGAGCAGGAGCTCTAAGGTTTCAACTGAAATATTTTTCAACCCCTCATCCCTTTAACCTTCAAGCATTTATCTTCCTTAAGGCATGCATTTCGGGGTGTGCTCTAACGTGTCATGTATCCGGCTTTGAAGTCCTTTAGGAAAGGGTCAGGCCCCCACTGGGTGTAAAACAGCAAATAAAGAAAACAACCCAGCATCTCACATGTACTCCTGCAGCCTGGGCAAGCTCACAGTGCAAGGATTCGGAATTACTGGTTGAAAGCCTACAAAATCAGATCAGAGGAACTTCCACTTCCCACAACTCCTGCCCCCCCAAGTCAATACTTACGGGAATCGAGGAGGACCAGGGGAGGAGCATGTCCTCTGGGGTGGTCGGTCTCCAGTGCCTTTGGGAGCACGGAGGTTTGAGTAATTTGGGATGACTTGCTGGGCCGGGCGGATAACTCTCATGCAAGGTCCAGGAACAGGAGGAAGTGGTTGCAATGGCTCAGCAAAATGTTGGTAAGGAGCTCTGCCATCTGGGAGGGTGAGAAAATAAAGGCAGCAACTATCATTTCAGCCAACACATTTTTGCCTCAGTTTGTGTTTATTCCTTTCCAGGCATGTCTCAGGAAACTGAGCAGTTTGGAGGCATTTGCAGGTATCTCGCTCTGAAAGAAGCCAGATGAAGGAATGTTTTGGAGTCTAAAGCTTGCTATTTCCCATTCACATAAGGCACGGTTCAGATCCCTGCTCGGGGTTGGGCTGTTGGGACAGCTGACAGTTAAACATTCAGGGCTGCCTTGTCCCTGCGCTGACTGTGCCTCAGTGCTTTTTGGTAGGGTTTTTTTTTTAAATTTCTTTTTGGCAATGACTTGTGAAAATGAATCATCCCAAAGTTCTCATGAAAGCAGATGCAAAATCCTGGAACAAATCAGTTTGCAACAGTAAGGCTAAACAGACTGTGATTATTGTAAATGAAAAGAGGAAAAATAATCGCTTAGTTTGTTACTTCATCCTGTGTGAATTTTCTGTCAAAGTGACATTTTAAGGACTTGCTGCTGCTCCCGTTGCCATCCGAGAGGCTGCAGGGGAAGCCCAAAGTGATAATTTTGCTCACGTAATTCTGAAAACCTTTACTGTTGCTGGCCACACATAATATTGATTAATAACTATTGTACAGTGGAACTGTTGGCATAAACTGAAAGAGAAAGCAATGTAAGCTGTTTGTTTCCCAATTGGGGAAAAGGAATTTTTTTTCTCTTAGTCTTTCTGCTTGTGGTTTTCATTAGGCAGCAGCTCTGTGCAGTTCCAAGCTGCTGTGCGCAGATCAAAGTCCAGCCTGGCAGGGCTTATTAGCACTGCATGATTATGGTGTTATGAGCTGTCTCTAAAAGCTGCAGTACTCAAATGCTCTGTTCCCCCAAAACTGTTTTTAAAATCCTATTTTTGGGTCATGCCTTCCTTTCCCTAGCAGCCATGAGGACTATCTATCTTTTTTTTTTTTTTTTTTTTTTTTTAAGGGGAGGATAAAGGAAGAAAACAAAGCTTTGATGGAATACTCCAATTCCAGGAGCCAACACTGCACAAAAAACCCCCTCCAACCAACCCCATGATTACACAGATTCCTGATGAAATTGTGAGTCAGCAAAATTGTATTTGTTGAGATTGTTTTAGGAGATTTTCCCACCCCCCTCTTATCTATTTGCAACAGGATGTGATGAAAGGGACTGGAAGAACCACATTGAAGTCAATATGGTTTCCTCCTGGATTCCTCATGACCAGCTCTAGAGAAGGTTACAGGGATTTGGGACACTCGGTTTGCTTTGGAGGTTTTAAGGCCAATGTTTCACCAGCTTCCTTTGGATCTGTCTGCTGCTACAGTATACTGGATGCAGCCACAGCTCAAAGCACAGCGTGGCCAGGCATGTGTGCCCACACACCCCCACATCCCTGAAAGACAAATATCTGAAATTATGGTCCCCGGGCACACAGCATTGTTGTGAACATTTCTTTGACTTCAGAAGCAGTTTTGTTGCTGTATCTCAAATAGCAGGTGCCCTAGCCAGCTTAGAGCCTCCGGGCACAGTTGCTATTCCCCAGGGGAGGTGCAGAGCTTTGTTGTGGGTTGCCACTGCCCAACAATTATCTGAGACTCAAGGAGCTGTCAGGAGGTGATTTACGCTGTAGCAGGCATGTGAGAGAGAAACAGGAGTACAGTTGCCAGCTTCTTGGTCCTGACCAAATCTGCTCCAGCCATCTGAGTTTATTTTACTCTTTTTGCCCTCTGGATATGGCTGGAATGGTAGTGATTTTTCTGAAAAAAAAGCCTTTCAGAGTCCCTGCTTTCAAACAAAATGTCCTCATTCAGTAAATGTCCTACTTCTCACGATGCCTGCTTGTGGAGGAGGTAAACGGAGGTAAACAGTGAGCGGTGTTGTGCAACCAGCCCTTTGTCTGCTTAGAGCTGAACTGAAAGGAGAAGGTACGAAAGGAAAACCAGAGGACGTTTTCCAAATGTTAAGCTGTAGATGTTGTTGAAAGTCCATCTACAGCCCCTTCCCCTTTACAAAGTTCCAAAATCAGAGCTGGAAACCGAGTTTCTGAAACCCTCCTCTTTCATATACCTAATTATAGCACATAGCTGAAATGACAAAACTCCCTAAACAGATGCAATATAAATGCTGTGGAGTCAAAAAAAAGGTTAAAAAAAAAAAAGGTTTATCAGAACAGGCCTACAGCTTTTTATTACAAAGCCAGCCCAAAACAGGTCAGGGTCTCATGAGCCTAATGTAATATAAATTATATTAAAACAATTATATTGCTGTTGAATGTTCAAAGCTCACTTCATAACAGATAAAAATCTCAGAAACTGAAAAGGAATACTAATTAATAGCAGGCTGTAAACTGCACTGGAGTCTCCCAGAGCCAGAACGCCCATATTGAGGGAGTCACATCAGCGCTCAGCGACACAATCACCAGCAGCTGAGAGGGCTCCATTTTAAGTAATGAGCTTTCATTTCAGCTGACAACAGGGAAAAAAAATTAGGATGATGGATGTCACGCTCTTTTCACATAGAAATAAAACACATGGGTGAGTCTGGTCATAGTGCTGGGAGATACTATTTATGGAGATCAAGGGTAACCTCCCATCCTGATCCTGGCAGGAAATTCTCAACTTCGGGGATCCAAGGGGGAGCAAGGAAATCTATGAAAACAACAGGAATTGAGTGGGTATAGGAGGCTGCTGAATGACTGATGCAAGGAGGAAGGAAATGACTAGAATATGAAATAACAGCAGGGAGAGGCTGTGCATGCTCAGCGTGACCGACAAGGGCTGGTTTCTAAGCACAACCATTCGCCTGCACTTGATGAGTAACCGTGACCTCTTTAACTTAAGAGGTTCAGAGGTTTTGCAGCACAGAGTCCAGCCACATAACCCAAAAATCTGAAACTGTAAAAGGGACTGCAGTTAGATGTTTAAAGAGCTTAATAATTGTATGCTGTGCTGGAAACACGCCCTTGGTGAATGATGGCTGAGATACACCCAGAGAACCTCCTGTGGGGCGAGGCGTGCTACTCACACGGGCCTTGGGGGGGCTGCTGTGCCGGGCAGCGGTGCCTGAAGCAGCCGTGGGCTTGCGTGTTGGGATGGGGCAAGTGATGGCACACAGGGCACTGCTGATGCTCAGGTCCCAAAAACTCTCTGGAGATCAGCGGTCCTGGGAGGTCCTGGGGGTTCAGCACAGACACCAGTGGTAAGGGGGGTTCCAGATGCCTGATGCCCATGACGTCTTGTGACTGGGAGTTGTACCCTGTATCTACAGTTCCCAGCTCTGCCAGGAGTCTGTTTCCTGAGGGTTGCTGTGACTGTGAACTCCCTTGGCTGCTCTCCTCCAGTGAGTCCTCAGGAACATCAGACAAGATCTGCTCTGATTTACTGGACTTGTGCCTGGTGTCAGCTGAAAGCTGCGATCTTGGCTGCATGCCTGGTTTGTCCATAGCTACAGAATGTGTCTTCGAGGGAAATACTCCTGATATTGATTCACCAGGGGAACGGGAGTGTCCACCTCCACCAGGATCAGTATATTTTGACCACAAGCTGCTGTCTGGCTCCACAGACAGCGCTGAATGATGATGTGCTGGTGCTCTGCAAAGGCAAGATGGATCGGCCTGAGGTGTTTGAGCAACATGGGCCTCCTCATCCTCCATATCCTCTCCAGAAGGCTGCAAAGCCTTTTCCAAGATATGTTCAGGTAACTGGGACCATGGCATGGATTCATCCACTTCGACTGGTATGCTTCGACCCACAGAAGTGCCTGAAAAATTGAGAGAAGTAACACTGGAGATGGACAGCCACACAGTCAAATGCACATCGACATTCAGTGACTGTGAGCTGGAATACTGAAGAGCAATACGTATTCTTTAGATTCTTTATACTTTAATGTTTTTTAAAAAGATGGCAGAAAACAGCAAGAAAGGTCTGGCTGACTTTTGGCAAAACAAGAAAGTAGAGGGTTAGCTGGAGTGAAGCTAGTAGAGAGTTATAATTTGGACTAACCTGACACAGAGGCCATTTCCAAGGTTTTTTGTTGAACCGGAAGTGAGTCAGCTGCCTTACTGCAAGGCCAGGATTTTTCAGCAAGCTGGAAAACAAGAAAAAGGACTCTTGTGAACACGGTACAGTTTCACATGGGCAATAATCCTAAAATAACTCTATCTCAGATGCTGGAAAAGAAATAGCAGTTAAAGTTTTGGAAATTGTGTTACGCAAATAAAATGGTTTTTTTATGGGATTTCTGAAACCTACTGTTCCTGCTGACACTGGAGGAGGGCAAAAACAGCTGAACTGCCCCTCAGAAGTAATTCTGGCACCTGACAGCAGATCAGACTGCTTAAGTCTGGGTGTTTGGTTTAGACATAATCCAGGCAACACAACAACTTGCAATTATTTTACTCCTGACCTTCTAATAACAGCTGATGCATCCGATGTAAACTTCATGATGCACCTAGCTGAGTAATTTCAACTAGAAATCATGTTTCCAAGTGCTCCTGCTTAACTTACTGTACCGTTTCTTCCAGCCTGTTATCACACAACTCTCATTATTTTAAAAAGATTATTTAGAGAGATTAGTTATTGGCTGGATTTTTTCCATCTTTCCTTCAGAACTGACTTGGGCCCAAAACAAAATTATCACTTCCTTTTGGGACTGCTATCCCAGTAAATTTGGTCTGGCCAAGTGACTCCTGATGATGGACACCTGTGCTTCACCCCGAGTCAGGATGACAGCAGCAGTGATGGGTGAATGCTGAGCAGGCTTCAGGAAGCCATCTTCATCCTCTTACTGGTGCAGCTCAGCTTCCTCCCAGCAAATTCCCTTTTTTACCATGGAGTATAGAAAAATGCACCTGATGCTCATCATTTCCCCAGCCATTCACCTTATATCAGACTGAAGAAGCTAAAATCCCAAGTAGGAGAGTTATCAGAGGGAGGGGACTAAGCATTCAAGCAATGGGAATGACAACATCTGGTGAAAGAATCTGGCCTGAAAGCCTGGTAGAAAAAGTTAAAATCACAACGTGTTTGAAGAGCTTTTAGAGATCCAAGGGTTCCTCCCAAATTCAGTCACAAAACGCAGTTCAGCATTTTGAACAAAACAGTCAAATGAACAACAAATTTAAATGATCACTCTATAAAAAAGAGGTGAACAGGATCACAGAGAAGTACAAAGCAGTGTCCCAGCCTTTACCCTGGCTTCCACAGTGATTCTGTAAAAGCAAATGTTGTGCCCCATGTTTACAGGGCAAGGTTAAGGCTTTACATTTTTGCTGATCAGAACAAATGACACGTACTTCCCCCTGAAAGTACCTCTGCACAGAAAATTCTGGGTGTAACATTTGCTGGGAAGTAGGATATAAACTGTGCTTTGCTGCTGGGCTGCAATGTAAACATTCCTCCTCTATGTAACTTAAACCCCATCTGTGCAGAAGATTTGCCATATATTCATACATACCCTATGTTATATTAAGCACATCCACAGGGAGAGTTATCCTGGGATAATTACAGTGGGATAATTACACTGGTAAATTTTCCCATGTAGGCAAGTCCTCAGAGCAGCTATTAGCTGCACCAGCAGAGCACACACGCTGCTGCTGCTCTGACAGCTGCAGCCCCTGCACGAGTGAGCTGGGTTTGCTGTCAAACCAGCTCCTGCCATTCCAGCGCCCAGGCTGGAAAGGCTGACAGCCAGCTCACCACCATCAGTCTCTCCCTGAGGTTTGCACCCCTTTTCCTCTAGGCCAGGTCACAAACATCAGCCAAGCCCACTGAGTCCCAGTTTTCCAACCGGCATAGCTGACGTGATGGGAAAGAGAAAACCTGGAGCTCTCAGCACCAGTGCAGGACCATGTCAGGATGCTGTGCAGGGGTGGCAAAGTGTCCTTTGCCTGGGACCTTTGGCCAGAGTCAGTTTAAATGATGACTGCCCTGGGGTGGTGACTCACCAGGGCAGCACAGCACAGTCAGATTTACACCAACCAGGCTGTAAAGCTGCTGAGTGGTCCCCTGACAGAGAAGCACCTGTGAAGAAGGGGTATCAAATGCCCTCCCTGCAAAGCATCTGTCTTCTGCTTACCTCAACAGTTTTGTAAACCTGACCCTTGGATCAACTGGCCTTGAAGTGCCTGCTCAGACATGCTTCAACTTGAGGATATCTCTGTATGTTTGGTCGTAAAGTGAATGATGCACACTCCAGCAGCACAAATCACACTGCAATCTCTTATTTCCCCGCTGAGCATCTCCAGTTAACTGGTTCCTTGTGCAAAATTCACCCTGGTGTTCACAAAGCACAACTCAGCTGAGGACTGGGGTACAGCTCGTATGCCACATGCATTGTCCGATCATCCCTCTATTAGACATAATCCTTAGCAAACATGTGAACTAGACTTTTCAGAAACAAATTTGCAATGCCTCATACACCAAGATGCTGTTTTGATGGTCTCTGAAGTAGCTGGGTGAAAATACTAGAAAATACTTTGAATTCAGATCCTCTATATTCAATAGCCTTCAGTTTAACACCATACCAAGAAGAAAAGATTTCTGTGGAGAAACTGATATTTCATTCCAGAGCTCAATGAAGTAAATGGAAATCTCTCTACTGACTTCCGTAGGTTTTGGACTGGGTGTCAGATGGGATTTAAAAGTCAGTAAATTCCTTTGGAGGCTACAACCTCCAAAGTTCTTGGCCTTTTTTTTTTTTAGTTCCATTGCTAACATCTGACTATCTATGAAACAAACTGCATGAATCTAATGAAACGGACAACATGGGCAAGAAAATTTCAGGTTTGCTTTCTTGAAGTTTGTTATTTAATGTATTTAGTCTGCCTTTAGGAGAAGGGATATTAGGATTCTAATAAACTATATTGCAAATAATCAGCCACTAAACTCTTCATATGTCTTACTTCAGAATATTTCAAAAATGTCTTTCCTATTAGTTTAACCTCTGAATGGATAAACGCCTCTTTATCTCCCAAATCAACTTAATATTTAAAAGACAGCCTTATTTCCTTCCTGTGTAACATGACCTTAAAAAACTACTCCAAATACCTGAGTGAAAGAATTTGGTCAGACATAAGAGACAACTATTCCATCACTTACGTTTTTACCTGAAAAAAATTCTAGGTTTTTTAGATAGGTTTTTGTTCAGACCCTGCTGCGGGGTGCAAGCAAAAGCTGAGCTTTGACACCCACGCACAGCCCCTGCTCTCACAGGGTCAAGGTAGGAGGCACCAAGGGCATGAGGGCTTTGGCATTAAAAAAGTAGGAAACGTGACTTCATCCTCCTCCTCCCTCAGTAGCCCTGGCTGGAGAGAGAAGCTGTTACAACAGCAGAGCTCTGTCTGTAGCAACGGCCCCGGGGATAAATTAACCCCAGGACATGCTGAACATCTTTGGAGCAATTGGGGCAATGGCATGTGGATGGGAATTCCCAAGAGAAATCCCCACACCCCTGAAAATATAACAGATGATTCAAAAACATCCTCCTCCAAAAGCAGTACTTCAGGGTGCTGTTTTTGCTCAGCTCAAGATTCTTAGCTTTTGGAAAAAGACCCAAAAGAGCCCATTATCCGTGTATTTTATGTTGCCTTGTGCTGCTGAGTTTCAGTTTGTCTCCTCTGACTTTTCTACTTAGCTTATCCTGCAAATACAGTTAGGCATAGGGCAGAAAAATTACCTGCTTGGTCTCCTGTGTTGAAGAACTAGAGGAAAGGAATGCTTCAGCATACTGAAATACCCTGAGAAACCTGTAGCCTGATACCTTCTCTGGCACAGAGGCTGGAGAGCAGAGATCGTGCCCAACCTCATTTGGAAAGACACTGCAACTTCAAGTCGGTTCATGATACTGCCAGAAAACGTCAAGAATTTAATATTCCCCCTGCACCTCTGACTGTTCAGGAGATTACTGATAACCAGCTGGAGCCATTGCATATATTTCTGCTTGTAATAAAGTGAGGAGGCCCTTCCTAGAGGGACAGAGCCTGGACTGCTCCCAAAAATGTCAAGGGAACTCCTTAAAGCACTCTTTTTCCTTCCTCTCCTTATACACCCAGCTCTGCAATGTGCATTAATTCAGCAAATAATCTTTGTGGGTGGGTGCTCAGTGATTCAAGCTCCTGAAAAGAACCCCTTTCCAGCTTCCTTGTGAGGCTTCCCACACCCAAAGAGCTTCTTCCTCTGCTTCTGCCAAGGAGACAGGGGAAGCCACCCAGATCTCCTGTTCACATCCAGCTGCTGCTGGCCATGGCCATTCCTGGAAACGTGCAGAGAGCATAAATGAAGGGGAGCAAATTCTTCTGCAGGTCAGTAGAGATGGGCCTGAGCACCCACGTTTGAAGCAACGGCCAAAGTCCCCTAAAAATCCTCCTATGGAGGCAAGGGGACAAGGGGAAGGGTGTTGGGCTTAGCTCATCTGCGCTGTTTTCTTGCAGCTGATTGCAAAATCCATCAGGTATTTATTTCATCTGTTTTCCAGCAGGAAGACTCGTCAGGATGCGCTGTCCCAAAACACACACTAACCATCTAACTGCTTTTGATTAGAAACCCTCTGTCATGAAGAGACAGAGGAGAGAGAGACTGCAACATGAGCATGGTTCTGCTCTCTGCTGCTTCTGGAGAGGGGGAAAATATCTTTGCTCTTTTGATCAAAGTTTTATTTGTCTACCTTGTTAAAACAGAAAACATTAGGATGAGAAAGAAACCTCACCTTTCTTGGTACACAACACACAAGGACAGGGTTTTTTATTTGCCAGTCTCAGAACCTCTGAAATGGGCAGAGATTACGGCAAAGCTGAGATCACAAGGAGTGGGGACACACAGGTATTTCTTGATTTCCAAATAATTCCTGTGTACTTTGGCTGAATCTCTTAGGCTCCCTGGTGCTGCTGATATCCATCTGCAGGATGGGAGTAAGCGGATGCAGAATTTGCAAGCTGCTGTGAGGATGCACATGCTGAGATCCCAAGGAGAGCTGTTGCCATAGGGTGGGATGAGTTTAAGTTTGCAAGAGCACTTGCTCTAAGTTCAGCATTCTCTACAGAAACACTAGACACATCTTTACTCAAAAAATCCCAGAGAGAAATCCTTACATGAGGAGCAAGTGCAAATGTGGGAACTGGTTTGGGTCTACAACTTAAATAAGCACTGCCAAGGAAATCCAAGCTTCAGAGTTTTGCACTTCACCGTTAGAAATTTCAGCTGCTGTCATCACGGACACTGAGCCTCTCCCTTGGGTACCCTCCACAGCACAGACTAAGGCAATGTGTCACATTCCTAACCCAGACTTTTAGCCCTCTAGGGCAGGTAATGCTTATTTTTATGACTTCTGGAAAACATTAGAAAAAGAATACGGAAACAACATTCCTCTGGCTATATGGTTGCTCTCATGTATTTTCTGAAGCCATGGCAGGAAAATCTACATGTGCCAGGAGAACATACTTCAAATCCTATCTGCATGGCAAACACCACATTCTCTTTCGCAGCACTAATGCTGCTTCACTGGACAATCCATGGTGCAAAAGCTTGAGCAGACCTAGTATTTTTTGCCTTTTTAGTGTAGACATCGACATACATGTTAAGGGAATGCTGGGCAGTAAGTAGTAAGAAACTAGAAGGGTGACACCCTCTAGCAGGATCCAAACAGGCATCTCAGATATAGACAGCATTCCCTGCCAATTTTCTAAACTTTGTGAAATATGAAAACATCTACAATTATCTGCAGTATTCTTAAAAATGTGATTGTTTTCCAGAGGCTACTTCCCACCCATTTCTGGTGCTGATAAAACTCTCACAGGCACTTAAGAACCCCCAGTCTGGGATATCCCATGGCCCTGGGATATCCAAAACTCCTGTCACAAAACTGGGGCTGGCTCAGTGGGGTGGGATGGGGGGACTACTCTGAGAAGCATCAATTTCCTCAGCCTGCTTTCCTACAGCTTCATGCCTTACATTGAAGACTCTGGTTCCTTAAAAGCCCCTGGTATTTCACAGGGCTGATGTCTCTCCCATCCTCAGCCCGCTCTGCAGTGCGTGGGCGGCGGGAGGCTGAGGGAAGCCTGCAGGACCTGACGTGTTCCCTCAGCTGGCGTGAGAACAGCCTCGCTCACTCGCAGTCATGAAACGTGCAGAAATGTGTGTATCTTTCAGACATGTACCCTCTGCCAAACTTCAAAAGCCACTGCTGGGGGTGGGGGGCACTGACAGACACGAACACCATAATTGCACATGCCTTGCTTCCTGACTTAGGAAAACAGAAAGAAAACTCAACTCCACTGGAAAATAAAAAAATTAAAAATACAGTATGCTTCCAGACACTGCCAGCACTCTAAAAGGGCAAGGCAGCTTCAGAGGCTGATGGCATTGCAGGCAGCAGCACACTGGCAGCCAGCCACCTGCTCATCCTGGCCCAGCCGCCCGTTCTCCTTGCATCCCTGTCTCTGGCATCAGCCGCCGTGGGTGTCACCGCAATGTCTGGTCATGGTGGGGCACTGGCGTGGCCAGTCCAGGCCTTGAACCACCCAAGGCTTGCAGGAAATGGGAATTTCATGTCTCAGGGTTGCTGGTGGTGGTTGAGGACCAGTAAGCCCAGATGTGCCAAACTCGGCACCCAGCCAGTGCTAACCCTACAAAACCTGTGTCCTGAAACTGGATGGTATGGGAGTGGGCTTCATATGGCTGATTTTATCCTAATCGAAAAGAAATACTACCACCTTGCTCCCACTTGTTTCCATGCCAAGGATATAGAGGACGGGGCAAAACCGATCTGTGATTCTGTTTTCTTCACACCTTACAGCCACCTCATCAGGCCTGTGGATCTGGACCTATGCAGCCCCAGGTCAGCCGGGGAAGAAAAGGGAAAGGGAAGGGAAAGGGAAGGGAGAGGGAAATGGAAGGGAAAGGGAGAGGGCCATGGGCCAACACACCACCTTGAGCCTGCAGACCCGGCAGGGCGGGATCGGGATCAGGCCTGGCCGCCAGTCATTGCCAGGCAACTACGTAAATAGGCAGGACAACATTTCGACACCAGGCGTGTCCGTCCCCAGCGTTTACCCCAAACCCCTCCTGATTTAAAAAAAAGAACCAACAAACAAGACAAACTGCAGCGAAATGGCTGAAACATGTTGTAACCATCTGTGAAATTCGGGCTCTCATGACCCGAGAGAGGGGGGAGAAAGCGAGCGAGACAGCGATTTGAGGAGGGGAAGAAAGCCCCAGCGAGAGCCAGGCGCGGGTCAGCAGCTGAGGGCAAACGGGGGCCGAGAGAGGCGGCACCTCTGACACTTCTTACCTTGCGGGCGAGGGAGGTTCGCGCCGGGCTGCCCCAGGAGAGCGAGAGGGCTGCGCGCCTCCTGCGCTCCCCGCCGCGCCCGGGGCTCCTTCCTCAGCCGGCCGGGCGGCTTTCCCTCCTTTTACGACACCCTCCCTGCCTCTCCCAGGTAAGCGGCAGAACTGGCTCCGCAGCAGGAAGTGCAAGAGGCACGCACGGCTCGGCGCGGCGGCGGGAGAGCCTCTGTGGGGGAGTGACACTTCCAAGCTCACGGCTCCCCGGCCATGCCTGCGTGCGGCTCGCTGCCTCTCCCCTGGGAAGCCGGGCGGCCTCTGCGTGAGCGGCGCGGATAAATAACTCAGGGGGAAGCCCGGTGTGGTTCCCAAACGGTGTGCCTCGTCGGGAAAGTCATCCCTTGCTTTCAGCCCTCGGTCGCTTACTGTCAGTGCCAAATGTTAAATCAGCTGTGATTCAGACTACTGAAGACAATCACATGATGCGTGTAAGAACTATATAAAGAACAACAAAAAAAGGATTTCTCGACTGGTTCTTTCTTTTAGGTTAGATTTCTAGACACTTCCAAGTTTCTAGACTCTCAAGGAGCAGAAACTCGCTTTTCCTACAAGCTGAAACTTCTGTGTTCCCACAGGTCCTGAAAGCCGTGCAGCTCCGGAGATGCCCGGCGAGCTGCCCCAGGAAAGCCGCTCTGGCCACTCTTATCCCATCCCTCACCACTGTCCTGACCCTTCCCTCAGGGCATCTCCCTGCCGAGAAGCTCTTCCTGATCTCCAGCCTCATTTTCTTCCTTTAACCCTAGAAGGAGGTTCACTGAGCTGCAGCCTGGGCGCGGCTCCTCATCCTCCAAGAGAGGAGGCAGACGCCACACGCTGCCTCACTGCCTGGCAGGTCTGCCTGCGCACACAGGGACATCTAAACCATCCCACAAGCTCCTCGCTCTGGCAGTGCCACCGCTGCTCCTTCCCGTGACACTGGGCACAGAGGAAGGAGCCACATGCCCAGCATTCCTGCCCCCGGGAAGCACTCTCTCTGCATGCCCACCACTCTGCCAGCCCCTCCTTCTGATCCAAAGGCAAAGCTGTGAGCCAGACAATTATCTCCTCTCATCAGGGAATGACTTCCCACATTTTTGGAGGGAAACCTCAAGCAGCTGGGAGCAGCATGTGCCCCCAGCTGAGCACCAAGTGTGATTGTATTGATGGCAGTGCAGTGATGCCCTGCAGCCTGGGCTTACTTCCCTCTTGAGGAAGCCCATATCAGCCTGGCCCTGGAACTGGCCATCCTGACCCCCTCCTTCCCCGCTCCCTCCCTCCTGTGCCAAGGCAAAGGCCAGCAGGACACCAGGGCTCCCTTTTGGAGCACCCTAAAGTTAGACTGCTGCCAGACTTCCTGGACAGTTCCTGCTGCTCCTAGCCAGACCCAGATGGGATGAGCACGAGGTGCTTATGGCTGGAGTGGCTGCATTACAACTGCAGTCATTTGAGTCAGCTGAAGGTTTAATCCCTCTGGCCTGGCCTCCGCTGCACAGCTGTTTTGCGCCATGAACATCCTGACAGTCACCATTTTCATCAAGGCTGCCTGAGCCCCGAGCTGCACCACACTGGGCTTGGGTGGCTGCCTCTCCTGCCAGTTTTCCCACCAGCCTCCAGCTCGGGAGCAGTGATGGCTCCACTGCCACCTGTGTGCCACAGTGGGTGAGGGCTGTGAGGGGTCCATGGCCACACAAGAGCCAAAACCAGGACCTTGGTGAATGTTGACAGGACAAAAGCAGGGAGGGAGAGTTGCTCTGTGGAGTGCCTGACCTTCCTGAGACGTATGTGAAGGATGTATATAGTGTTTGCTGTGCAATGACCAGCTCCTCAGGGAATGCAGGCAGAATGGGGACTCAGCAGGCAGAGTGTCCCATGGAATGTTTCATCAATATCCACATTTGTGGGATTTCTTTGTAAAAGGCTCTGCTATGGCCATCAAGCACCTCCCTTCACACAGTGGATGGCCTCTCTCACCGACAGTGGTTATGGACAGTCCTCTGTTCTCCTCTGCTCAAAGCCTGGACACTGGTCTGTAACATCCAGCAAACAAGAGTGTCCACCTGCCACCCCCGTAGCCAGCTGCCAGTTGGCCAGGAGAGGAAGGTTCTGGCTGTGAGATCTGTCCCTTGTGTGAGCACTCCAGGTCCAGAAATGCAGAGACATAATGGTGTCTGCAGATGCGGCCAAAGAACCAGTCTCTGTCCCCTCTTTAACTTGCCAAGCCCCAGAAAACAGCAGATATTTGGAGCAGTTTCCTCTCACTTGAGCTTTATGTACTTTATTAACAGCCTGACAAAGAGAGGAAAATAGCTTGAAAGTCACACTCTGCTGACTCTGTTAACAGCACTGTCTGCCGAGTAGGTTTCAAAGGTCCAGCCCAAACCTAAGTACCCTCCCACAAAGCTGTAGAAACTGTTGTCAATTAGCTCGTTTTTGGATTAGGAAACTTGGACAACAGATACCCAAATTTATTTCAGCATTTCAAAAACTTCCCTCATCCCCAAAACTGAAGCCATCATAATTGCCTTCTGAAGGCCTCTTTTATATATATTTGAAGTCTTCCTACCCTACTGACTTCACTCACTGAAAGCCAGATGAAACTCTGAACTCTCTAAAGTTAGTATCTCATCTGTACATTATTTACAAGCAGAGCATGATGAGTCATATTGGACCTGTCATAGAAAGGACAGATTCAAGAGTAGGATGGTTTTCTTTGGCAAGGCAAGTAACACGGACCTTTTTTTTTTTTTTTCTAAAAAGGTTCCTAATCCTGCAGGAGTTGTAATATTTCTTTTTTCATTAGGAAGAAAGTGTTGGTATTGAGTGCCCCTTCTCATATTTCCTACCACATCTCTGTATTTGGAGAAATAAATCATTAATCCTTTTGCATCCAGATGATTAACTGTTTAAATAAAGCACTGTCATGTTGCTCCTCTTTTAACATTGGTGCTGTGAATTAACCTGGAGACATTGCAGTGAGCCTTTAACCCACTCTGCCTCAGCATAATACACATGATGGTCTCACTCTGGTTCTCTGCATGTGGCTTGTCCCTTGCTGCTTTTGTACTGTGAGGAAAACCGGGGCTTTTGCCATGTCTTGCTGTTTACATTGCTAGGCACATGCCTGCAAAAATATTTTTCACTTACTTTATTTTAAGGCTCTTGCTTTGGCATTTTTCAGTCACACCCTGGAGAGACACCTGAAAGGAAGGAAAACAGTATCTGGATGTTAGATTGTGCAATGCATGCAATTAAACCCTGCATAATGACAAAAACCTCTCCTGCTATTCGTTAAGATTTCCCCCATAGCATTATGTATCCTCTTAATTAAGAGCAGAAGCTAAGTATTACCTATTTTATTCCCTCTTGCATCCAATTAGTCACCCATTGATCATTACCCACTCAACATTTGACAATTAACAGAGCCCCCATTCTCCGCAGGACAGGGATGTGTAGTCCTTCAGCAATGACACGTCCAGAATAACGTGATGGGAGCTGTGTGGATGAGTAATGGGGCAAGAGGTGGGGGAAGGGGAGGAAAAGGCCACCCAAGTGGAACAAAAGACATGTAACATATGCAAATGTTCAATATGTGGTATGTGTTTTATACACTGGATGTATATGAGGTCACAGACAAAGCTCAGCTGGCGGCTGCACTGCGTTTGGGAGGCATGGGAATTTGAGGGAACACTTGAGCTCTTGTGTGATCAAACCTACCTAGTCCTCTCTCTTTAAGACACAAAGCTGTTCTCCATGTGGCTCGTTGCCTTTGCTTTTTTAGGAGGGCAGGATTTAGCATCTGGTTCTCCATTGTCACTGGGACTGTGGGCTGTAGCAACACAGCCCCGGCCAAGTCACCCCAAGACCTGTCAGCAGCTCCACACAGTTGTGCCTGAGCTGCTGCCAACAGAGCATGGCAGCTCTGGGTGTCCAAGGATCCTCCAGGGAAGCTGCAGGCCCCTTCTGCATGGCCACTCCCTCCTGGGAAGTCTGTCCCAGGAACAGGGATGGCCCAGGCCCTGCGCAGTGCCAGGAGCGGTGTGCTCGGACCCCTGCAGCTCTTTCCCAACACCAGGGACCCTTCCTATATGAGTAGCATTTTCCAGCTGGGGAATTCCAGCAGCCTGTGGGATTTAGAGGCAGCCCAGAGCCTGAAATGCAGCAGTGAATAAAGCACAGGGAATGTCAGGGCTCACAGACAGCCTCTGGCATGAGGTTGAGCCCCAACAGTCACAAAGCAGCCCTGCATTCTTTTTTTTTTTTCTTTTTCCAGATTAGAATTCAGGGCTCCGGAATTTTGTGTGAAGCTGTTACAATAGGTAGCTGAGCAAGGCTCTGGGTGCAGGAGCTCAGCAACAAATACTGATGCACAAAAAAGCAAACCAGAGCCCTTGGCAAGCTCTAGCCTGGCTGTAGGGAAAGAAGGATAATCTCATTTCTTTACTCTTTGCCTTTTTAGCTATTCACGGAGCTTAATGCTGAGTTATTCCCAACAATGAGCCAAACAATCAAACTTCCATCTGGCCTGGTCAGGCAGAACCAACACTTGCCTCGCAGTCACAGGCCACACCAATCCTGTGGTTTTTTCCCCCATCATGGACATACACTATTTTCCTCTACGCTGGAACAGAGAAGATATTTACATTTGGAAGCAGAAAGCGCAGTTCACGCTCCTCAGCCTGCTCTAATCTCATCACCCAAATCCCTGGGCACAAGGCAGCACAGGCGCTGTGAGCACAGCTGGTGCTGCAAACACAGCTGCTGCTGCAACCTTGGCCTCTGCCTCTCCACCACACGATGCAGTGCCTACCAGCTCATGACCTGCTTTTCCTGAGAGGGCAGTTCTCCCTGCACTCCTGCACACTCCCACTGCAGGCTCCAAACTGCAGCCATGCCCTTGGGAGAAATGTTTTCTCTCCCTGACTTTAAGATAGCTGCAGGCTGCTCTTTACAGTAGCCAGAGACCCACAGCATCTCTGGGCTGTAGCAGCAGTGCTTGCTGCTACCACCTCTCCCGGTTTGGGAGTAGGGATTGTAACAGATCACATAGTGAGAACCAGCAGGGGAAAAAAAAAAACCAAAAAAAAAAAAAAAAGGAAAACAAGAGGAAAAAAGAGCAGCTCTTTTGTTGTTAACAACATTTTGTCCTCTAATCTACTCATGTCCCAGTTTTACATTTTTGTTAAGCTTTCAGCTACAGGGAAGGAATACAAGGAGATAGACTGATGTTTGTGTAGATGTTTTTATGTGTGAATTTCCTTTTGAGTTACAGATAACTGCACACACACACACACAAGAACGGGCTCTGTACTCAAAGTCAACACAAAATATCTCACGGACTTAAGGGGAGCCAGCATTTCCTCTATAACTTTCAAAATGGACCTCAGCAGCCTGGTTTTAGCCGTCAGAAGTTCTTAGAAATTTAGAAGAGCTGAGAGGGAGACACTAGCACCCTACTCATGTGGCAATCTCAGCAAGGGGCCTC